CGGTCCTTGGAACAATGTCTCCCTGTAAGTGGTCCGTGGACCTACAAGGTTGGAGAATCCCTGTGATGGATAACAGCTACATAACTTGTGGACAGCATACTGGTCTTATCTGCCTCCTCATCTAGAGTGAGCAGAATATGAAGGAGGTGGCGAGGGGGTTGCACAAATATGGCAATGCGTCACTCTCAACGGATCTGATTGTCTCATACTGGAGAACCGAGTGAGAAGAATATCAAAGAGGACGTTCATATTATCTGATTATTCAACTTTGCCGTGTTGTGTCTGGAAGGTGCGCGCTCGTTCGTCTGCGTGGTTTTGTTCCTTTTGCAGCACACTTTCACATCCTCCCGAATTCCATTGCTGACCAGCACGTAGAGCACGGGGTCCACCACGCAGTTCAGGCTGGACAAGGCGAGCGTACACGAGAAGGCGAAGTGCACCCGCTGCTCAAACTCGCAGTAGCTCTCGAGCGGCCGCGTGTAGAAGATGAGCGAGCGCGTGAGCAGCAGGATGTGGTACGGCGCGAAGCAAACGGAGAAGATCCCGATCACCCCGAAAGACAGCAGGCGCACCTTTCGCTTGACCTGGGCGCTCAGGCCCGGACTCTGGCCCACCGTCGCCAGCACCCTCCAGTAGCTGACGGCCAGCACCAGCAGGGGGAGCAAGAAGCCGACGCCCACCCGGAGCAGGTTGAACAGGGCCACGGGTTTCTCCATGGGGTAGGTCTCGTAACAGCGGTCGTCTCGGCCGTCGTGGGCGTCTTGGAGGTTGTCGTTGAACAGCACCATGACGTGCAGCACTGTGACCACCGCGTAGATGCTGACGCACTGCGCCCAGGCGTAGCACGACGTCCGGTGGGTTTTGGAGCGCAAAGGGTACGTGACCACCAGGCAGCGGTCCACCGAGATGCAGCACAGCAGGTAGATGCTGATGTACATGTTGGAGTAGTAGAAGAAGCCGGCCACGCTGCACGACATGACGCCCAGTTGCCAGTGATGGTCCTGGCGGTAGTAGTTGATCCAGAGGGGCATGGTAAAGATGAAAAGGATGTCGGAGAGCAACAGGCTGAGCAAGAAGATGCCCAGGACGTTTTGCCTGCGCACTTGTTGCAAAATGGGGCCCAGGGTGAGGATG